CAGGGGACGGGAGACCAGCAGGGGCACACTGAGGCAAATGGGGGGGTTTAATAATGAACCTCTGATACCAGTCCAGTCTGACCGAAGACACCGGAAAGTAAAAAGAAGAGAACATGTAATCCAGGTACACAGACTGGAATACATGGTCTCCATGGTGACACTGCCATCCAATCCTTGGCTCCGTTTAAGACCAATAAATATGATTACTCATCCTGCCCTCCTTATGTGATCGAATGTTCGAGATGTATGGAGCACAAGGCTGGAAAACGTTTATTTAATCCAGAACAAAGGCAATTTCTATAGATAGCAATGAAACCATATCTATGAGGCTGGGTTTAAAGAGGACAGCGAGGCGGGGGGAACATGACAGTTAGAGATATGAAAAGAGTGTAGTGATAGAGAAGCAAAACACACGTGATCTTCATATACAGCAGGGACAATTTCCTGTTATTAACTGCTCTAAATTTGCAGAGCAAAGAAAATATTTGCATACCCACAAACCTTTATTTAATTCACAACAGAACACAGAAAGCATATCATAAATATATCATTTTACACAGCATTAAAACTTTGGCACAATTGGGTTTGTAGTGTGTTCAGTCTTCTAAAGTCAAACATGTTAACATGTTTCAGTTTAGTTTACTAAAGAATAAAATAACCCTCCATGTGTTTGAAGAGTGAAGCATTTAACCTGCATTCTCTCTAATGGCCAGCAGGGGGAGACTTTTCTAGTTGCACTGACTAGTCAGATTCTTTATGAATAAAGACACCTGCTGCTCACTTGACTTATGACCCTAGCAAACGCTTTCCTGATGAGTTTGTGGTATCAATCGTTAGTTTTACATCTTTTAAAATTGTATAACTTAAACTGCCACACAGACTCAAAAACCATAAAGCATCAATCTCATTAGTTTGTTCCATCTCATCTCAAACCAGCAAGATGGTGACACCAAAAAAACTTCACTCTGAGGCTTTAAAACCTCATTAACAAAAACATGAATGTGGTCACACATAGCTTCCTGCAGAACCACGCTGCTGGCTCAAAGAAACGTGACAGAGACTGAAGTTACAGGAGCACCAGCCAGTGGCGTCCTAACATTGTTGAACTAGCAGGAAACTGCTGTTGTACTTCAATGAAATAAGAATAATTTGTTTAATCAACTAACATCTGTAGTGCCAACTAGTGGCTATGTCCATCTTTCATGTACAGGCTATGATTTGAGCTCTACTAGCATCACAATTCAACTCCACGGGAACACAAACAAGAGTGATTCTTGATTGTCCATCTGAGGTCTAAGTGATCAACCCAACCTCTAAAAACTAGGGCCAGCATAGTGAAGAGTTGGTTTTATTGCTTATGCTGACTTAGACCACAGAGGGTTAACATTAATGTGTTAAATCTACTCTTTAGCCCGCCTAGAAATGTAAATACACACCACACAAAAACCTCAGCAGCTGTTACAGGTCTGTTTGTTAGTAATGTGTAGTGAAAACACAATACAAATTAATAAATGATGAATAATGTGAGATGCTGTCATCTTTTAATGGTAGAAATATGCTGTTTTTCTTGTTTTGATTTCAGTAAAAATAACAGCTGCTTAAGATTTAACGGCTCCAGTGATGCAGACATATCAGAGCACAAGTAATAAGTGAATGCAGACAATGACGTCACCACTACAGCGGGGATCCAAAGACCCCAATTTAATCAAGCATCCACTCAATTAAACCTGGACCGATCCACGGAGGCCCAACCCAGAACTCAGAGGCTCACGGTTCCCTCGGAGGGTGTTTTGGATGTAAAACACTCTAAAGTCATTCTGCTGCGTGTGTGCTTTTACTTTTAGATTCACTTTGATCGTGACCTGAACATGTAAAAGCATCTGATTCGCTGGCTGCAGCTTCTATATCTGAAAACCCGCTTGTTTCTTCGGCTTTCTATGAAATTACACTAAAGTATTTCTGCTTCAGATTGCTGATTGGACAAAAGAAGCCATGTGTAATCTTTATTATGACAACTATTCTAACAACGAAACAATGACTCAAACAGCTGGGGTAATGGGGTAATCTACAGATTAATCTGTAATTACAGTAATCATGGCCACATTTAGAACTGCAGTGGAGCTTCCTAAACATGATACAACTAACTAAATGGATTTATATCTGTCTGTTAAATTAGATCAGAACCAAAAACAAAATCTTAACTTCGCTCCTTTGTTGGGTGACTTTGTTGACCCATCAATGAATCATGTTGCTGCAGTAACAGGCCAGTACTTCCTGTAACATCTAGTGAAACTGTAAATCACACGATTGATTCAATGTATGCCCGCACATGTGGAAAAACCCCTAGAAGTACAAGCGACCGATGCAGAAAGCATCGTTCTGTAAAAGACAAACAGAACGACCACTCTCAGTATGAAACATGCAGATATTTCATAGCATTTGTGAGGTTTGACTCAGCGACACCTGCACAGGAGGGTTTCAGTATCAAAGAGAATCAGAGGGAGGGAGGGGTGATAACCACAGGGCTGAAAGCTTCAATAACAACATGAAAAAGCAAGTCATCCTGTAACTGTACTCTCCTGCCAAGCAGCACCGCAGCATCATATTAGATTTCCCTGTATTGTTATGTTTGTTATGAGGCTGTATTAACACTGTAAGCTGCAGCCAATCAGCAGCTTTATACTGATAATCCGTTTACAAGGCTTAAAAAATACAGGATTAGAGCGTTTATGGCACATTGCATCACCTGGGTGACTCACCAAGTTGAATGTAAGCTTATTTAACGCAAATTTAAACACGTTTTATGGGAATAAAAGTAGATAAAGCTTTGAAATACGTGGAGATACAGGAGAAACATCATAAATCTCTATTTTAATGGTAAGAAAATGTTTCTTTAAGAGCACAAGTGTTGTGTTATTCCTCCAGAATCGCCACCCTGAAGCCTGAAAACCTGTTTGGATCCGCCCGATCACCCTCCTTCATGACAACACAGCAAACCGCATCAGCTAACGGACCTCTCCTTGCCTCCTCACCTCCACCAGCGGCAGGTCAGGGTCCAGGTGGGTGAAGCTGTGCAGGACCACCGGGCTGCGGTCTTCGACCACCTCTAGCCTCACGCCGTCCCAAATGTTCCGCACCCTCCACGAAGAGTCAAACATCTCGAGCAGCTGGCCCGGCTTGACGCTACGCGCCTCGGCTTGCATCCCCGGGAAATAGACCATGGATGCCCGCAGAGTTCAGTCACACCCCCGCGCTGACATTTCTAATGTTTGTTAGGAGTCCCACAGACACACACTGCCGCTGCCGCCTGAGACTAATGCTTCTGTGTGATCATCGCCTCTCTCAGTACAGTTTATCACGGCCCTGACTCACACCGGGGCTTTTCTAAACCCCGCCCCCACCAACCGGTGCCTTCAGGGCTGTCGGATAAACCAAACGCATAGGATGGCTTTAGCGAAAATTACGTTACAAGTTTTGTCTTGTATTTAATCCCACGCATTATACTTAAAAAAAAAAAGTTAAAACTTTAATTACATTAACGTGAATACAACTTTGCAAAATTTCTGTTAAACATCTAACACGTACTTTTCATGGAAAAGGAACAAACTACTTCTTTTCATTTAGTTCTTTTTTATTTACATAGATGTAATGAAATGCTATTAACCATACTTTAATGTTTATAACGGTCGTCACCATATCAGACTTTTACTTTGTGCTAAAACAAAACAAAAACAAACTAACACTCTACGGTTGTTGTTGTTATTTTTTAGTCCAATTATAATAGTTTTTCTTTTTCTTTTTTCCCAGTTAGTTTACAAAGTGAGTTTGGTCATTTCAGGTAATTTTTTCATTGTTGGAAAATATATTTTTTTTACTTAAATATTTATTAGTTTCAGCCCTAGCTTTAGTTTGTGTTTTTTTGTTGGGTTTTTATTTTTCTTAAATATTATAATCTGGAGATTCTCTATCAGGGACAAAATTAGAATGAGCATTACAATAGAAACACAGTTTGTTACGGCAGTGTACTCACAGATGTGCAGACAGCCTATTATCTCAACAAGCACATTCCCCAAAGCCTCATCACTCAGATTAACAAACTAGAAGTAATGCTATTTAATCTGCATTGTAATTTTATTGTGATTAGTTTTCTAAGGTCACAAAATAATTTCATTTACTTACAAAAGTTTATATTTGCTTTTAACTTTAATTTCAAGTTTCCCACATTTTATTTTATCACACCTAAATTAAGGTAACTATAGTAACCTGGGCGACACAAGGACACTATAAAGTTGTTATGTATGAAAAGGGAGTCTGCGAGACGTCCCTGAAGGCAGCACTTACTCCCCCGCTCTTACTCATGTCTCTGGGAAATGATGGCGCTGTTTGTGCCTTCACTGTGGCAGGAGGACTGTGTGGGAAAAGAAAACAGTGGAGTCTGCTGGAGTTACACTTTTACCGTGAGCCCAGAGCAGCTCAGCAAACACGCTTCCCCCACCTGATCCTCCACTGTTACACCGAAGCACAGCTTAAAGGTGGCGTAGAGTTTAAACCAGTACATGCTCCTCTAACACCTTTCAAAAGGGCAACTTTCTGCTTTTCACTTAGTTTTCCAAAGATTGATTATGCATTAATATAAAAAACAAATTACCTGTGAGTGTGTTAACTCGTTATAAAAGTCTAAGTCACACTTCAGCAGTTTTACTGAGATTATAGCTCTATAAAGACATCATTTAAATATAATTATTTAGGGTTTTGGGTTTTTTTTGGGTCTTTTTTAGGTGACTGATTTGAGTTTTAAACATATTTGTGGAAAGATGATAAATAAGTATGTATTTAAATGAGAAAAAGTCTAATTTTGTGTATCTAAAATCTACATTTTTCAACTTACATTTTAGCATTTAAGACATTTTTATTCCATTTTATTTTGATTAATCAAATGTACTGAGCTTTTACTTTACACAAGTACTATATTATATTATTTTTATTTAGATCTTCACTTACTTTGCTTTTTAAATTTTACTTATTAGATTTTTTTCCATTTTTGTAAATTTTACCCAACTGATCTATTTGGCTTTGTCACTGTACTTTTTCTAGTCTGTTTAAGCTGTTTTGTCATAAGCTGCTGTAATTCTTTGCCAACTTTTAGAATAAACACATCCTGTCTTACTATACTTAGAAAATACAACAGGGAAAATCAGCAGGTCCTCAGCTGAAAAGATAGAAAAGAATAATTTTTCCAAAATAAATGAGCTAAATTACAGATTAATATCGAAATAGCTCACTGACCAAACTTTTCAGCTGCAAACAATTAGGAGCAAATGAAACAAAATCCTCAATGGAACCACCTCAACACAAAGATCTCAATGTTATACAATGTTATCCTGCACACACCTTGTCAAAGCACTGCTGCTCACCATAAAAACAAACAACCTGACTTTAACAGTCAGAAAGCACCTGAAAGCACCATCAGGAAGTCCCTGTTAGTAAACTGAATTAGTTTGTGTTGTGGTTCAACAAATGCATCTTGGGGGAATTTTAGGCTAAGACTTCAGAGAAAGAACCTGAAGACGTCTAACACCGCCTCCTACTGGTCAGTGTCAGGAACAAACGTCTCCAATCACAGTGAGAACAAATCTTTTAAATTCACCGCAGCCTGCTTTAAACAGCAGAACAAAACCATTACCTAACTGTTACATTATTAAACCTTAATTTTCATTCACATGTTTTTCTTTTTGGATTTTTTTGAAACAACCCACTGCTTTTCCACGCCAAGGCTCTGACAGGTGTGAAAGCATTTTAGAACATTTAAGGAAAACATCTGCCGCACCAGCTGAAGCTGAATGCAACCACAAGCACGTCCGACCTCGCCGACCTGTCCTCGCCAAGCGGCTGCGCATCATAACTCAGAAATCTGCAGCTGCCCGACATGAAGAAGACGAGTGAGGGAGCAACACGGCTTTCTAAAGGTTTATACAGATTTAAGTTTCCAATAAATCAAGACAGCCATGGTTCACTGTGGAAGATTACAGTCTAGTGATTAGAAGTGGGAAAGGAGATATTTCCAGACATATTTCCATTATTGTCACCACACCAATGAGCCAGGTCCTGTAAAAGCAGGTTTCCTGATATAACATGTTTTAAGTGTTTGAAGAAAGGTTTTGGTTTCATTTCACTTCATTTCTTGTACCTCTTGGGCAAAACAGTGTTTAACTTTGTCCCCTCACAGCATGAAAGTCCTGGGTTTGAATCCTCGGGACAGCTGGGGCTTTCTGTGTGGAGTTCTGCAGGTTTTCTCTCTGCTTCCCCTCACAGTCTGAAGACATGCATTGGGGTTATGATTACTGGTGATTTGAAATGGCTGTGTGTTTCTGTGTGTTAGTCCTTCAACAGACTGGTGGCCTGTCCAGGATATATCCTGCCTCTCTCCCAACGGCTCCAGCCACCTGCGACTCAAATAAGTGGAAGAAAGAGGATGCATGGATGGACTTCATTCCTTTATAATTGGACAAATCACTTACAAGTATCCTTGATTACAAGTAATAATCAATAATCAAACCATATGAGTCCATATGAGGCTCTGTGACCTCATAAAAAGCTCTGCATGCTGCATCTGATCGTGCAGGCTATATGATAAAATGTGGCTGTTGCTGTTTCTCTTATCACAAATCTCCAGGATGTTTATTTGAAAGCTTTTTATTAACGTTTTTGTCTAAAAAAGGTAGGAATTTCCAATTATTTAAATGTTTAAATATCCACATTTTCCATATTGTTTTAAAGATTTTAGTACCAATTTATTCCCAGACCCTCAGTGGCCTGTCCAGTGCTTTTCTGCCAGGCTGCAACAGAAACACGAGGTTTTATTTATTATCATTAATCAGAATCAGAGAGACTTTATTTATCCCCAAGGGGCAATTAAGATACAACAGAGCAGCAAAAACTATACTGCAAACACAGCCTGAAAAACATCCTAAAGTCTGTTGAACACAAAGCCTGACCCGGATGGTAGATCGGTTTGAAAGATAGCGTCGAGCAAGACGTGACTATTCCCCGTTTCATCTGCACAGAGCAGCAGAAAGAGTGAAAGTCACAGAATAACAAGCACTGGTACTAATATCTGCCCTACAAAATAACCCACATAGGCTGAATCCCAGAAATCTGACAGAGCCTGGAGGGCCGGCCAACTCTGAGTCTGCTGCGATTTAACTGAAGCTCTTTTTCCATCTGCTGGAAATCAACACCAGAGGATGTTGTTGTGCTGCTGCTGCGGGCCTGGCTGATGTTTTACGGCTCCCCGAGGACGGTGACGCTAACAGTCCGCATTACGTTCTTATTTTCTCACACAGAAACACTCGTGCTTTTACTGAGAGACTGCACCCCCTGACCTACAGAAGAAGTTTCACAGAAGTATGTGAGGAGGGCAGATCCAAACGTCACTAACCAAAGACAGATTCCCATCACGACGAGGGTAAAATTAAAATTAGGGCAGTGACATCAGCGGCTTATTTTAGTCCTGCTGACACTGAGCAGTGCAGAAAGTTCTTTATTCCTCCTGTCAGGAGGCCATTTAGCAAGGCATTAAAGCTGGGTGGTTATCCTGGGTTGCTGCCAGGCTCTCAATGTTTCCTGCAGTGCTTCACGAACAATAAACCTGAAACAAATAAAAGCCAAAGGGAGAGCCAGACATAGACTGGATATCGAGTTATGCAACAAGAGGAAAATAACAAGCCCATAAATCACGATAAACTGATTAATACAAGAAAAAAAATAAAGATTCATGTTCAAAACCCTCCTCCTAATGAAATCAGCTAAATCTGTAAAATTCAACTTCAGTGACACAAACACCAGCGTTCACAGCTGTTGATTCATGGTGTGCAGAACTGCACAGAGCACAGGTTTTCTTCTACCTCAGATAAAGGCTCAGAGCTGAGGACAGACAGAAGCCTAAAGAACACATTCAACCAATCTTGGCACAGTTTAATCGCACCTGTGAGCTGCCTTCTATTATAAATAACAATAAAACCAGTAAAATCTTTTCTTATTTCTGTAATCTGAAGGCCTGAGTGAGCGTGAGTCATACAGAGAAAAGGTCTGGCTTCCTCTACTTCCTGTCGTCTGAGGTTGACAGCTTCTAAGCAGCACAGACAGCTGAGGTCAGGCGTCTGTGCTGCTTCATGTCTCTGTGAAGCCAGCACACTGTAACGACAGCTAATGGGAGCAGATTATAGAAAGCGAGGCCTTTATTCTTTCATTTCACATGTAGCGATTGGTTCTTGGTGCAGACATGTCGTGCTGTGAAGTCAGATTAACTCAAGAGCCGACCTGAGCGCTCCCACTGTTACAGCAATATTATGTGGCTGTTGGACATATTTCATTTTAAACATGCAGGATGCGTATCTGTACCACATCTTTAAGATATTTGGAGCATATTTTAAGTAAGACCTTTTTAAAATCACTCACAGGCTTAAACGGGTTGATATTAATCTTGGTCAGTGTGCTAGTGATCCCTGTGAGTCCAAAGCTTGAAGCCTAAACAGTTTTTTTCTACTCTTGACTCTGTGTGATGTCACTAAGAGTCAAAGATCCCCTAATATGGTTATCCCAGGCACAGAAGCCCCACCCAGCCAATCAGAAGACAGGGACCTTAAAAGAGACAGGAGATTGCCTGTACAAAGGCCGAGTATAAGATAAACAGGGATTATTTTAAACTGCGAATCATGCAAAGCTCATGTGGAAAGGTCAGAGCAAAAACATGGAGTTGTAAAGAACCATAACAGGTCCCTTTAACAACAGCATCACAAACTACACTTAAAAACTTAAACGTAAGACTCCAAATCGTTCACACGGCCAGCAGAGGAGTGCAGCCCACACTTGGGAAAACTTAATTTAAACAAGAGCAGAATTACAGATAGAAAATTATTAAAAATGGAAAGAGCATCTGACAGGTAAAAAGCAAAACAAATAAACAAACAAAAAGCTCTCACACTTTAAAATCTCTCCACTCCAGGTCATATCTGTTAATCAGAAGAATGTCAAGCGTGCCACTGTGATGTGTCACATGCATCACTTCAAAACAACTCAAGTTTCTACTGAATTATTTGCATAGTTTAAACAGCCGAACAGTGAGCTGTTTGGCTGTTTTTTTACTCTCTACTTCCAAGTGAGCAGATACCAATCCTGCTTGTTTTTACATTCATCAACAGAGTTTAAAGAAATTGCAGCGAGCACACCCAGATCATTGGCACAGATCATTAATTCAGGTTTATGACTCATAAATATGACTATCACTCATAATGCATCACTAATATAAAAAGGGTGTTCAAAACAAGTCGTGGTATTAAACTGCATTAGCATTAACGGCAAAGTGTAGCAAAGGTTAAACAGTAAAATAAACACTGGTAACTAATGCTGAGTCAGTGCTATTTACACTGGGGGCTAAACTGGGGAGCACTCAACCAGAGTTTAATTTATACTGGGACTTATTTTGAAAAAAAAAAAATTCCAGTGCTTTCCCTGGAACTATAAACCAGTATCCGTCTAAACGTGTCTTCCGCTTCACTACAACTTCCTTCGCTGTTAGAGGGTGGCATTATTTTACCTGCAAGGAGCCAAACTCTAAATGTGGCCAGTCCTTCAGTTCAAGCCCAACACTGAACTACAAACTCAGCCTCTTTACACTTAAGAGTGAAGGCAAACATTAAGAGCTCCAACCTGTCTTTCTTTTCTTCCGACTGTCCTGTAATAATCCTCGCCATCCCAGGTCCCGGCCAGCAGTCCACAGATCCACCGGCTCCAGCACCACATCACGGCGTTGCTGACAACCAGTCCCAAAAAACATGAGGATCCTGGAGGAGCAGAACCTCAGTGAAGGCGACTCCAGGGCTCCCACTCCCCTCTTCACAGATTGGCCGAACCCCAACCGCCAACGCTCAGCTCATGCATGTTTACTTTAACAGCTGTGTCAACAACACGAGGAACAACACTAGAAAAAAATTAACCTATGCCGGGAAAAAAAGGCTTTCCAGAAGAGGCTCACATCTGTCCGTGTATGTCAAAGGTGGAGAGAAACCGCTTGGTAATGACCTCCACAACAACAACAACACCGTGAGGCTACGACGCTCAAATGTCCTGCTGTTACCGCTCTCAAGAGAAAATGAAACCTCAACATGATGCAATAAAATTCGAAGAAATTTCCTGCTTAACTGAAGGAGGGGATTATCTCCAGGTAGTTTACGTGTTTAACAACGTCATCTGAAGCTATGTTAGGCAACCTGTAGGGACGAATGAAAACAGACTAACAGGAACCGTCTTAAGAAATTCAAACACCTTTAACTGAAAACAACTTACTGAACCTGTTCCTCTGACACCTCAGGGCACTTGTTGTCATCACCTTGATCCAGAGGAAGAGGTGTTTGTTTTTTTAATTAGTGTTGTTTGACTCAGTTTGCAGATACACATATTTAATGCTGCAAAAAAATATAGAAGGCCTGCACATTTTTTTTTTCTCAGAGGCGAGTCCAAAAAGTAAAGAAACAAAAATCCAAATAAAGCACAAGAACTCAGGGAACAAATAAAAAAGTCTGATTTCTGGTTAAATCAAGATAACAAACAATAAATTAATAAATGGGAGACAAGCATTTACTGGTCAATAAGTGAAGGGAACACTCAGCCATTACAGTAAAAAACAAAGCTAAACTTCAGTGCTATCAATCTCTCCAGTTAGAAAGCAGAACCCACTGTGAGCCCATTTCAGCTGCTTTGGTGCAGATGGTCATGACAACAGGTCCACTGGACAGGCAACAACATGACAAACCCCACAAAGGGAATGTTTTAGCAGCTGGTGGCTACAGCCCATTCCTCTCCTTATCCCTCCTGACTGTTTTTCATCTAAATGTCCTATCACTGCAGTCATCATGCGATAGTATCTGCAGATAATTCAGGTTTCACAGGTTACTACTTCAAGATGGAGATGTGAGGAGAGCTGGACAGGCTCGCTGGTTCATGTTTCTGACCAAAATGTCAGATTCAGACTCCACGAAGGGGAACACGGGTCCCGGCGTCCTTTAGCAGGACCTGTGCTCGCAGCTCAGCCCCACGCAGCTTGATCGGCATTCGGCAGACAACACCACAACTGGCAGCTTTGCTTCTGGTACCCTGATGTCTGATAACATTCACCAGAGCGCCTCCAGACTCTTTCACACCTGTCACGTGTGCTCAGTGTGAACCTCCTCTCTGAAACTGAATATTTTTAAAGTAAAAAGAAAAAAGCATTTAACTTACAGCACTAAATAAAGAGAAGATTACATTTTTTCTTATGAAATAAACAATAATTTGTTAAAGAATGTCTCTGGAGCTGATCTAATGATCCATTAACAAACAAGAACAGATAAACTAGTAACTGTAACAGCAGATTAACTATTATTTTGTTGGGTGATTATTTTATATTGTGTGTCCTGTGCACACAAAATACATTTTTTGGCAACATATATTGTTTTTTAATGAAACCCTGCCTGGATATGTGCTCTTTATTTTACGCATTTTTTATGACTAACCGGTAAAGACATCTTACAGTGCAGCATTACAGGGTTTTATGGGATCGTAGTCACACAGTTTTCATGGACTTGGAACTGTCAAAGTGCACAGAGCTGGTTGAAAGAACTACAGAGCACATTTGCCGCATGGCTGATTAAACAAACATAAACAGTGTGTTCTCTGTACAGATGATGAAAGCTTGTTTAACTGCTTGAGCAACACAAGTAATTTTGGTATATCTAATCTTGTAGTTCAAAACAGAAAAGAAAAACAAGAAAATAACTTATAAATCACAGATTAATTAGACCTAATTTCTCAAGAATTCAATAATAGGTTTTGTTTGTCCCTCCGGAGCCTCTTCTCTTTTTACTGCAGCAAGAATAAAAAACAAACAAACACAGGAGAGTTTCCCAGTAACAGACACATACAAGAAGAAGCTTCTGAGAGCTTGCCAGATTGAGCTGCCTCTAACAGCCTTTAGATGTATCCCCTGCTATTATTTCAGCCAGTCGAGCCATTCAGGTGCTCCTCCAAGCTCCTGGCATTTAAAAATGCTCTCTCATGCCAACTGCAGCCACCTGGGGACGGCAGCTCTGCTCTGAGGCATCCTGACAACCGTCGCACAGGCTGAGAATAAAATAAACCAGCCTGTGTTTGTTTTGGAAATTGTATTGTCAGAAAAATTATTCTGCTTTTTTTTTTTTTTTTAAAGATGACTGATCATCAAACCGAGTGTCGTCTTTAAATTCGACTCCCTTCACTTTAATGCCACGTTTGTTGTTTTGGTTTTTCTTTTGATGTGACACATTTCTGTCAGCCCAAGATGTTTTTCAAGGCTTTAACCTGCACAAATAAAGGCCGTGTCTTTTTCTGGTCTTTCTGAGAGCCGTCACAATATCAAACACATTTGGCAACCACACAAAGTTTCAGTGGTAAGTTTAAGTCAAGCAGTTTGAATGAAACTGTCCAAACTGCACAAAGTGACCTTGTAACAACTTCTCCACGATGACAACCAAATCAGATGCTAAATGGCTCTTATAGTGCTGTTCTTCTCTAAAAGCGCTCTATACTACAAGCATTATTCACCCATTCAAACACAGATTTAGGATCACACTCCTGTGATCGAGTGGAAACCTCAAGGGAGATCCTCTAGTATCCACTAGAAGCAGGCTTGAAAGGTGATTCAATCCCATAGACTCCAATGTCCAAGTCCAACTTTGCAGCAGCAGTAACCATATTCACACCACAGTGCACAATCCTGTTGTGGTCCCTAAAGCTATGTTCAGCCATCATGACAGCCTGTGATGATTTGGTTATAACTCACCCATCTGGATTTGGCAAAAGCTTTGACTGAAAAGTGTGCAGAGACAGGTAGCTGCACTCAATCACAGCCTTCTAGGTCTCAGTTCTGCTAATTCAAGTCAATGAACTGGACCTTTCAAGTCTTTCTGTGATGCTGATGACTTTTATATCATTTTAATGCAACTGAATGACAAATATTACACAGGACCTGAAATTAATTTCCCCAAATTTAGGGAAATTGCGCCATATTGCTTTTTACCAGGGGGAAGAGGGTACCAGTCTGAAGAGGGTACTACTTGTGAGCTTAATTACATGTCTTATATAGTCACCCATTGTTCTTCTCCAACTACAGCATGGCTGTATTCTCTGCTCTGTCCATCTTTATCATCGTAGGTCTTTTCTCTCGTCCACTGTCAGCTCAATATTTTACAAATACAGCAGCTAAACTAACATCAGGGTCGGCCGTATGAGGATCCTGAAGATTCACCTTGTCAACATTAACCTCTCCTGGGACTGCTGTTTTTTTTCCTGAGTGCACTTCTTGTCAGTTGACATACATGACAAGACTTTAAGATCCTTTTGGCTGCTCTTCTATTCACAAGTGCCCATCACAGAGTTTTTACACCTGATGCCCTTCCTACTGCAACCCCAAAGGGATGTGTGTCACCGCCTGGGATCAAACTGTTAGGCAAACATATAAGCCACTACACATTTACATAGTTTAAGTGCCTCTGAGTCTGGAGCTAAGTCTGTGCTGATTTGTGTCCATTTCATGCCTAAAGTGAGAATTTTCCACTTTTAAAAAGCCAAAAAGGTCTACAACTGGAGGCTGGAGGAGTTAGCTCCAGAATATCAAGATGCCAGACGAAGGAAAACTCAACCCTTTTTTTTTATATCAAACATTTGTCCTTCTTGTCAAAACTTGCACAACCAAGCAACACAACCATCAACATTTTATTCCGGGTTGTGCCTGGAAACAGGAATGTTATTTTCCGTGGTGTTCTGCTCTTTAATGAGTCCGGGGTATAAACCATCTTCCACTTGAAAGAAACCACAGCAACAGATGGAAAAGCAAAGAAAAGAAACTCCTGCTCTGCTGTGCCACTTTATTTCAGTCCAAATGTCTCCGGTGTACTCCTGCCTTTCCATATCACCTCCACCTCCACATCCACCTGCACACCTGCTTCCAATTTCCTCTTCGGGTCCTTCAGCGAGCATACCCACACTTGAGTTCCTTGCCAAATTGTCAATCATGCTATCTGAGCTGTAGATTTCCAGCCTTCTGTCTGGCCAAGTCGCCTTGTTTTTGTTTCTTCTTCTTTCTCTTTTTGGACCCATGCCTGCCTGCGTGTGCCCCTCAGGACTTCCTGTTTAATGACCCACATCAGAAATGGATGATCATTGCTGACGGCTTCATGGTTGCAGTGGGAGCTAAGAGCAAAGGACTAATAGTACGCTGACTGCCTGTGAAAGAAAGTCTGGATACTGTTGTACAACAACAAAACGCTGCACTCATCGTACTCATTAACTGCTGAAAACTGTCTAAATGTTGATTCTAAATATGGCTATAATATGGCTCAGAGCCTCAGCCTTGCTTAGTGAACATTATCAACACGTCTGCAGATGCTTCCTTCAGAGTCGACTGATAGTTTGACAACTGACAACATCTGACAGTTAAACTTTTTCTTCCTGATCACTGGCTGTAAGCAACTCATCAGTGTGCTGCACATCCTTGTTTTCTAACCTGCTTCAGAAAACAAATGTTGTTTGCAGGAACAGCTGATCACAGTCTGTCAAAGTTTACAGTTTTTAACTAAAACAGAAAATATGGAAATAAACTGCATCAAACCACTCTAAGAAAGTCTGACAGTAACACATTGTTTCCCATAAAACAGGAGAATAATGCATTCTGCATTCAATATTTGCTGTTTTCCCATAAAATACTGCTACACTCTGTGAACAGCTTTGCATGCTGGGGTTAGGTTAGAATAAAGACAGCAATGCCCCACAAATACAGAAAGCTATTGTCTTTCTAGAAGAAACACTAGGGAACACAAGAGGTGGTTGTGATTTTCAAATACTGGAATAGACGTTTTATTAAGAATAACACTACCAGCCAACAGGCCAATAAAGCATGGTTTCATGGAGTGGTCATACTAAATGTTCTGTGAACGGTACACACTACAGCCACCAAACAGCTCTGAAATCTGCCTGGTAAAGCTAGCAAGGCTATTACAGCACAGTTATTCCATTAAAATTAACCTAATCCCCTCAGAATCAGCTGTTTTGTTTGTTTGGGGATATGTGTGGAATCCCAATCCAATGCAAAATGGCAACCACACAAAGTTGCAGGCTCTTTAGAAGCATCTATTAACCCTTTAAGACCTACCATAGAACCAAGTCCGCCAGAGCTTATATTATATTTTTACATGCTGTGGAGCCATTTTTTGGAGTATTTCAAGTTGCTATACATCAATACAACCATTATAGCCCAAAATTTAATAATATGTATTCATTAAGTGCATAGTAATTACATAAATTGCAAAAAAGTGCAATAAACTACAAAAAATTTAAAATCGTTTTTGTTTTTTTAACATATATTTCTAGTTAGAGAAATTTAAGAGGTTTATCCCTCAAAACTGTAAATACAAAAAAGTTGCACAAACTAGTTTCCCACCACAGGAAATTTATTTTAAGTGTCTTCATAGTTTTATTTTTGAGATACACCAATTTTCATATACTGCAGGAAAAACGAAAAAATATATTATAGTGCAAATTTGCAAAATAACAGCATATGCATCAAAATAAAATATTTCCAGCAGTGCAATATGAGTCCTAAGCATCCCAGAAACGACACAGAAAGTCATAAAGTCAAACATAACTTTTAAAAACACAAGTATAGGCTCATATGGCCACGATGGTAAAAAACTACATTTCCGCAATGTACGTCACTTCCGGTTTCGGGCAGTTCATGCCGGACATGCGATAGTTCACGCTGATGGACGTAGGAAGTGTTACAAACAGCTGATCGGATCGGCAAAGCGTGTTTCTGGAATTTTATGTTTTTGTTGCTGCAAGTGATTTTTATGCAGTTTTTGCAAAGCTATATGTGGAAGGAAACTGTGACTTAGGACAAGCTGATGGCATAAGATGTAAGTACAACTCCTCCGGTTTCATATGCAAAAAAAATTATTGTGCTAGCTTACGTGATTGCAGTGCTACGGGATTTAAAAATAGTTACGCAAAATGGAGCGTATCCGCTCCGACCGGCTTTAAAGGGTTAATAGGTCAAAACTCTTAGTCACCTTATAGTTTCCAGTATTATTGAGCCCACAAAATGTCCTAAATACAACAGATATCCTCTTCATATTGTAGGTTGAAAAAAGCAGCTCTGGTAAAAGCTGCAAACAAATCAATTTTGAACTTTGACCATCAATATCATGGGTTATCTAACAGTTTTAACAAGAACACTGCACAAATTTAATGCCTATGAGGTACAGTTACAAAAATGGCACTAACATTAGAGCAGCCAAAAACACCACATAGACAAATTAATTGAGCTGAAACTTAATCGTACAAACTTACGGAGCAGGATCACTGACTGCTCAGGTGTTTCGTGCATGAAAGTCCTCTCTGGCATTAACAGCACAAAAACTGTGCACCAGGAGCTTCGTGGCATGGGCTTCAATCCAAAGGTGTAACGTGTTATTTTCTCTATAGAGTAGCTCACAGTTAATACTGAATAATGTTTTGTTTGAAACCCTCACCTGTATTACACATTTTGGCTTTTATTAATACTACCTAAACCCTTTTTCAGTACAGCTGGATGATACAGTAGTAGAGAGTTGCCATCCTTAATGCGAGCAGCGATCTAGTCAGTGAAAACATCAGTGTAGCCTTAAATGAGCAATTTCATATAAACTCTGTTGAACAACTACTTACAGTCATCTGAGAGCAGTGTCAGGTCCAGTGGGATCTCCGAGTATAGCATTGTTGCTTGGAATACACAGTGTTTTATCACACACATCACTTTTTAGTAGAGGTGGATGGAAACACAACTAGAGCTTCAGACAACCTTAACCTGAGGTCTAATGAGTCAAAACACCAGTATGGACATGCAGAGCCTTTATTTAATTTAGCATACCATTACATGTGTGTGCTGGTGCATTGGGTGTGACTTTCTAAGCCCCTAAAACCATTTTGTTAAAGTCATTGTAACATGTTTGTTATAAATTTCTAGTTTCCATGGCTAACCCTGAAAACACAAAGTGATTTCATTCGTTTTTTCTTTCTCAAACTTGACAAAAGACCAGAGTCAATTCTCTATTTTTTTAATAATAAAAAGACTTTACAACTGCAAGTCTCCACTTTTTTTCAGCCACATCCAGCCGTAACTACACCAAAAGCCTAACAGCAGGGAGCGCAAGTGACTTTGTTTGACCCCAGAGAAGAATTCGGGCCACATGAAACACAATCCGGTGATACAGCTGAGCCACTAAGTGAGAGTTAGAGAGAGACGATCAGCTGACAGTACATATCCACCTCTCACACTGACAGCACAGCAGAGGATCACATCTAATTAAATATTTTTGTTAGAGCAGATTTCCTACAACAACATTATGAAAGAAAAACTTTCTTGTCCTTGATTAACCTTGAAAACTGCGACTACGTTGTCGTTTCCAATCACACACTGGAAACATTGAGACTTTGCAGTTTAGTTCAAACATGTTCAGTATTTCACAGGTGGAGCAGACTGCCAAACAAAGGCACAGGAGGACGGTTTGTGCAGCCAACCTACCTGCACACGAACGCACCATCACACCTAACTTCATTCAGTTTACACTTGAAACCTCAAACAGAAAGACTGGATAACTCACGGTCAAAACTATGTGGACACCCCTGTTACATTAATTCTTGATGTCTCCCCGTGCCGCCTGCAGTGATATTAAAACACAAATCTATTAGTGACATTCAGCACTGATAATAAGGTGAAAATTTCTGGCCTATGATTGGTCTTCCAGTTAATCCCACAGATGCTGGATAAATGGGGTAAACAATTTCTTTGGTTCTTTGGTGCATTGGCTTCGTATTGGGAAAACGACATGTTTAAAGTTTAGAGGGCCACTGGGCTTGTAATACGCTGGAGGATAGCTTGATGTTGTGGCACAAAAACACTGATAAAGCTGGTGTGGCTTAGCTCAAACTGTGAAAAATGGCTGTCTGGAATAGTTTTTGCTTGGGCTGCCAGCTCACATTGTTTCCACATTTGTCATATTACATCCATACCTGGATGTCTAAAACTGCAGCTTCATTTTAGCCAAGAATCTATCATTTAAATAGCTGCCAAAGACTAACTGCAGGTGAAGACCCAAGAACAGAATAATTAACAACTTAATACTGAAAAAAAAAAATCAAACTATTAAAACATATTACTTAAAAACAATCCTTCTGTTGAAGATAAAGCTCCTGCAACCCTCATACCAGTGTACGTGCAACTATAAAGAACTCCCTGTAAACCATTTTAATCATGAGCTTCTTTCAGCCGCACATTTTATTAAGAGCAACACATTCACTACATTCACCATGGGATCATTACAGACACGACCAAACATGTCAGGATTTCAAGGGGCACACCTTTATCTGCAGGGAGATGTTTTCCTGGGTGTGCAGAGTTTTATATCAGCAGCAGCCCGACACACACACACACACAGACGCACACACAGACGCACACACAGACGATGCTATGTCACAGCTCTGCAACAATGAAATGAAAAAACTTGGCAGTAATAAACACATAAGCATCCGTCCCCATGCAAACAGATTCATGTGAAGAAACAGCCTGAAACCATGTTTTCAGAGTGCGACAGACTCTGAAATACAGCCAGAAGCAAAACCTGAAGGCAAACTGACAGATCAGGTGAAAAGGTAACGGAAACATGCAGGTCAACAGGTGAACATACGCAACCTGCAAACCTGGGCTCAGCACATTTTGACAGAACCTTTAGTAAAGGGGTGCAGACAAACCCCAGGGTTTTTATATACGTATATATTCCAGTTAGGTAACACTTCGTTTTTTCTCTTTGCCCACTTGCTAATTTGTTTCCTTTTTAATTGCTTTTCACCGTCCCTTTCACTCAGCCACTAGAAACCTTTCAGTTATATTTAGGCACAATTCATTTTTGGCTTAAGATATTCATCTTCACACAACACTAGTTGTGTTGATATATTATAACCAGGAAGGTACTGGCCCTTCTCATTAATGCTAAACCAGACCTCCTGCATAACTGAGACAGACCAGCAGCTTTGATGGAATAAAAATAACCTGTCCCAACAAACAGAACCAAAAAAGTCACTCCAATTACATTAACCCAATAATGGCAGCAAAAATGTTCTCAATTTGACTGCTTGTAAGTCACAGGACTTGTCCAAAAGCTCTAAGTGGCTGTAACTGCTCCAACGAGTCAAACAAAACAACGAAGACATAAAAGAGCAACGCAATTAACTTCTCTGGCCAGAAAAAGAAAATAAGTAAAAGCAGAGAATGGTGAGTGTTATCGTTCTGCGTCCACTAAGAGCTTCACTTGTAAACCACACACACTCAATACTGTAATCATTTACAGCTATACAAGTAAACAAATTAATAGATGTATACAGCTTAAGAAACACACCTGTGTCCATTTTAAAATAATCTACAGACGTTAATACTGCATTAAAATACACATTCAGTCTTCTTTTTACAGTAAGCATGCACAAATATATGCTACAGTATCAAATATGCAATTAGTACACAGGAACACACTCACACACACTCAAGCAATTAAAATTTAACTAGATACATATACAGTATGTATGAATGCACTTATGTTCCTCTCCACACACACGCTGCATCCACACACACACGTACACCCAGCCAGCCTGGCGCGGTATCAGAGCTCACCAGGTCGTCCAGGATGGTGACGGGGAAATCGAACATGCACATCTTGACAGGCTGAGCGAGCGCTCTGTGCAGGCTGAACAGGGATTTGGCTTCCATGCTGTGCCCTGAACGCACCGTGCAGCCAACGCTCGACTGCACGCAACCACAACAAAAACACAAATAAAACCAGAAGAAAAAATGAAAAAAGGAGGAGCTCCCCAGTCTGGCTGCTCGCTTCGCAGTCCTATCACAGAGGACTGCAAAGAAATCCACCTCAAAGAAACCCCTCCACCTCCTTTTCCCCAAACACCAACAACCATCCACTCCCCTTCCTCTTCTCGCCTTTCTTCCCCTCCTTCTCCTCCTCACCAAGGAGCGTCTAACTGTCAGCAGCTGCTCTCTCGTCTTTCCGACCGTCCTCTGGGGGTATTGCCCAACACCACTCAGCTGTTTTGCCACGACCGCAGTGCTCTCACATTCAGACGGAGGTGCTCGGACTCGCCACCGAACCAAAGCACACGTCTGCCCGGAAAAA